GAAATGGTGTGTTTGTGAGGTTGTAGGGAGTCCAAAGCTGGGAGAAAACAAGTTCTAAGGTATTCCCATCAGAGTGGAGGACTGTGTCCATTGTGGTAAGGCAAAAGATGAGGTTAGGCTGCAGAGCTGGGATGTAGCTGGCTTGTTCACATTAACGGGGATGTTAAAATCACCAAGAATGACAGTGGGCATTTCAGAGGAGAGAAAGTAGGGTAGCCAGGCAATGGAAGTCATCAAAAAAGCGTGACACCGGTCCAGTAGGATGATAGATCACTGCAATCCTCAGAGAAATGGGAATAAACAGCTGAATGCAGTAAGTTTTGAAAGAAGAGGAGGGGTAGGGAGGACTTGAAAGGTGTTCCGTGGGGATAGAAGCAAACTAACTCCACCATCTTTCTAATCACTGGGTCTGGGGAAGTTCAGTGGATGCTTCCATGGGAAAGTGCTGTGGGAGAAGCAGAATCTGTTGCTTGAAGCCAGGTTTCTATAATTGCTGGTAGGTTAAGGCAGTGGGAGACAAAAAGATAATGGACAGAGGTGAGCTTAGTACAGACAGAGCGGGAATTCCAGAGTGCATAAGAAAAAGGGAGGGTGGCATACAGATTGAAATTAAATTGGGAGGATTGCAGCTATTCCTGGAGGAAGGAGGGTGCCTGGTGTGAGGGTGAGATACTGGAGGACCAGGGTTCAGGGAGATATCCCCAGAGGTTAGGAGAAGGAGGGTGAGGAAAGTAAGATGGGAACAGGATGTATGAACATGCCTTCCTGTCCTGGTGTTTGGGTCAGCAGGTGAGTTAAGTATTAGGAGGAGGTAATGAGAGTAGGAGATGGTAGAAGTGAGCACAATATGTATAAGCTTGGGGTGGAGCAGAGGGGAAAAAAAAAAAAAAAGATTTTGAGAACAGAGGATACAAATATGAAAAGGAGTAATAGGGGCATATTAAAAGGCAGATGGAGTGGGAATCAGACTTGTAGGAGATGTTTTGCTTGCAGTCCATCCAGAGTGCAGTAGAGTTCTTTAATGTATCTTCTTGCTGCTTATACTGCTATGTTCAACTGCTGTTTTGCACTGCAGCAGACAATCCGCTTCTGTGACCTCCCCCACAAGCTAGTCTAAATTTATAGGGAGATAATCAAATGAGAAAACCTTCTCCACCCCAATTAGGAACTGATAAGGAACACATGAATTGGGGGGGATTGGTCAAAGTCAGAGCAGCCACAGGCCAGTGTCATAAAAGATGATTGATTCTCTGATCACAGTCAGTGCATAGCAGTGAGACAGTTTAACCCCTTCACGGCCAAGGGTAAAACAAATCTAAATCCCTAAGCACAATTCTGCAATGTTGACATGTGATAGTAACACCGTACATATCACCATAACTACTTTGTGCATCCAGGTGGCTTATGCCTTGATTTTTTCAGGACAAACTGGGCTTTCATTTGGTGGTAAATGGTAATGGATAGCTCCTGATTTTTTTTTTTGTACTATCAAAGGAAATCTAGCCCAAAATAGTAAAAAAAAAAATCATTTTTATTTAGCTGTGTGTTTCTTGTTACAACTATTACCTACCACCAAAGAACAACCCAAAATAAATTCTCCAGCTCTTGATGATCGCAGCGATACCATATATAGGTATGTTATTTGTACCTGTAGTACAGCTCGGAAACAATAGTGCATATTTTTTTTTCTACCTAAAACACACTGAGACTAACACCAATTTTTTTTTTTTAAATCCAGACCTTTGACCCTGACCCAAACACTAACCCAGGCACTGAACTAGATCACCTTGATCTAGGTATGTTTCTTTAATATTTATTTTTTTTTTTGTTTTTTTTTTACAAACATTTTTTTTTCTCTCTATGCCAGGAGTTCGAGAGATACAATGTATCGCTCTTCTCCATTCATAGAGAGAAAAAAAAATGTTTGTTAAAAAAAAAAAAACCAGGCTGGGCTGTACAGTGACTGATCACTGTGTTAGCCAATCAGAGGCTATTACAGCGATCATGTTACCCAGAATCAGGGGTCTCGATCGTTAGAGCGGGACCCAGGGCTCTCAGTGACACCGCGGTGCTCTCCCAGCACAAAGATAGGTACGCAAATATGCCCTACTCAAACTCACCAACGACCTATCCGCCAAAACTAATGGCCACTATTCAGTGCTCCTGCTCCTCGACCTCTCTGCGGCTTTTGACACGGTTGACCACCCCCTCCTCCTCAAAAAAACTACACTCTCTTGGCCTCAGAGACTCCGCTCTCTTCCTATCTATCACAGCACTCCTTCAGTGTTACCTTAACGCTGCCACCTCCTCTTCACTCCCCCTCTCGGTTGGGGTCCCTCAAGGTTCTGTCCTCGGGCCCCTTCTCTTCTCCATCTTCACTTCCTCCCTTGGCCAATTGATATATTCTCATGACTTCAACTACCATCTCTATGCCAACGACACGCAAATCTCTCTACCCCTCACCTCACCCCTTCAGTCTCCGTCCGTATCACAAGCCTACTGAGCGACATATCGGATTGGATGTCACTCCACTTCCTCAAACTAAATCTTTCCAAAACTGAGCCCCTTGTTTTCCCCCAGCCCGCACCCCTCCCGACTTCTCCATCAAGACCAACAACACTGCCAACAGTCCCACCCCTCAAGCCAGAGTACTAGGTGTCATCCTAGACTCCAATCTGTCCATCCAGCCCCAATCGCTAACAAACTCATGTAGACTTCACCTCCGCAACATCTCCAAAATACAACCGTTCCTAACCCCGGAAACCGCTAAGCAACTCATTCATTCCCTTATTATATCACGCCTCAACTACTGTAACTCCCTCCTCATCGGCTTACCTCACCACAGGCTATCCACGCTTCAGTCTATCTTGAATGCTGCAGCCAGACTCATCCACCTTACTAACCGCTCCGTGTCTGCCACCCCCCTCTGCCAGTCCCTCCACTGGCTCCCAATTGCCCAACGGATAAAATTTAAACCGCTAACACGGACATATAAAGCTGTTCATAATACTGCCCCAAACTACATCACCAATCTTGTCTCCAAATACCACCCAAAACATACTCTCCACTCCTCACAAGACCTCCTACTCTCTAGCTCTCTGGTCTCCTCCCCCCATGCTCATCTCCAGGGTTTCCCCCATCCTCTGGAACTCCCGACCCCAATCCATCAGACTATCACCTACTCTGCTCATCTTTAGGCGCACTCTGAAAACCTCTCTCCTGAGGGAAGCCTACCCCGCCCTCAGCTAATTACTGAACTCCTCCACTCTTCCTACCACTCCATCCCCCACAGCCATTTCCTCCTGTACCACTATGCCCTCCCTCCCAGATTGTAAGCTCCAAGGAGCAGGGCCCACGAACCCCTCGTGTATTGAATTGTATTGTTACTGTACTGTCTCCCACCATAATGTAAAGCGCTGAGCAAACAGTCGGCGCTATATAAATCCTGTATAATAATAATTAAAAAAAATAAATATGCGACCCCACGGAAAAAAGCCCAGTTCTGTGAGGCCGCATATTTGTGTGACGTCAGCATCAAGGGGTTAAGGTGGAGATGAGACAGCAGCATTTACCTATGAAAAAGAGGACATGATCAGGGGGCTGTGTTCAACTGCTGTTTCGCACTTCAGCAGGAAATGCGCTCACACAGGATAATGGTGTGTGGGGGGTGTGTGTCCAAAAATGGATGAGACCTGATGTACTGAAGGCCTATCTCATTTCTTGAAGCCCCAAAAAAAAAACAAAACAAACAAAAAACACACCAGGACAGTACAATTACCCCCAAAAATTCCCCTTTTTGGAAAGCAGACAGTTCAAGGCATTTAGTAAGAGGCATGGTGAGTTTTTTTACATAATTTGTCACAATTTTTTAAAAGATGAAGAAATTAAGCTATTTTTTTTTTTTTTTTTTACACACTCTCACAGGTGCAGTACAGTGTCCTCATATGACTGGTGTAGGGGTAATCAGGGATATTGACAAGTGAAAATATGTAGTAAAATAAAATTTTTTTTTTTATTCAATTTTTAAACAGCAGGATGAATGGCTACAAAAAAAAGTTGGCAGTATGACAAAGCCAGCATCAGGAAGAACAGGTATTGTGATCACTAATGGAGAGGAGCAGAAAGAAAAAAAAAAGGATACTGGGTAGGAAAAAGGACACTATAGTTTTGTGGATATGATCAGCAATCATCTGACTGCAAGATCACATTCAAAAAGCTGTGCAGGGGAGCCATATTTAAAGAAAAAGAAAAAAAAAAAAAAAGTAAAACCATACACATGTTCAGTACTATAAGGAGTGGCTGAAAAGTTCTCGGCTGGCCAAGGAGGAAATGAGCTACAGCAACGAAATTTGCCTGCTATTCTACATATTCTCCCCTAAGTTCAACACACTTAGCACATTGTCTCTCCAATTTCTTTTAACACTTCCTAATAAAAATTATTTTGTCTGCTCTGTTGCTGCTATCACCCATGAACCCATCGGAAATGTCTGTCCTTTCAGTGTCTTTTTAAGGTTAGGAAATAGGTAACAGACAGAGCCATAGGTTTTCTTTGTTATAAAATTACCTTTCTAGTTGAACCTGTAACAACAAAGAGTGGGCTTTATCATCAACATTGGAGCAGTTAGAGCTTGTAATGGCTAAAATCTTTGTGCAACTTGACTAGGGGCAGAATGTTTTTTCTCCCCCAACAAAAGTGAAGGACCCCTAAAAGCAAACGCTTTAATAAATATACCAAAATAAATATAAACACATTAATATAAATGTTACAGTAGTAAATCAGATACATTGTGTATATACAATATATACAAAATAGTCACACAAAATTACTGCAATACTGCAAAAATCCACAGAGCTGGGCCTCAAATTCAAGACTTACTCAAGACTTGTGTATCCCCAGAGCCTCTACAGTATGTCTTTGAAACTGTGTGAATGCAAATGTTCATTGTGACCGATGTATTAAGTTCATGAAGTTTTAGACACTTAAAAGTCAAGGATTTCTGTTAATTGTTCATTTGCTCATTACAATACTTCATAGAAGTTGAGGGCATACGTCGCAGCAGTGTGTCTCCAGTATCCTCTTCTTTTGGCGCATCATAAATTGTGGAAATGAAATACTTTGGTTTTTTTGGTGCCGAGTTGAATGTTGATAGTTTTTCTCCATGATACCTGTGAAAAAAAACCACAGGACAATTACATTTATATTTACAATCCATTCATACCTATACTACAGTAAAGAACTGGTCTCAAAATAAATACCTGTGTGAGAAGGCTTACTGCAAGGAGGCAAATCTATTGACCTAAGCACAATACTAATTACAGGACATTAATTTTTATGTGACGCTGAATAGGCTCAGTTTTACTGCCTGGTAACTGGAATGTGGCATGGAATCATGGAATTAGTCTTCTCCCATAGGGGTTTGTGACAGATTCTTTTCATTTGCTGTTGCTGAATCAACCACTTTTTGACACTAGTTAGCTTTCTCCCTCAGAGTTAAATTGGCACCCAATGTTCCTTTTGCTGCCAGGTCCTTGTGTTGATGCAATACCTCCAAGATCTTGTCTTCTAGTGCTCTGGCTTCAAGACTCACTTCCAAAAATTACCTTTTACACTTTATACCTTTGAAACACCCTTGCACTTTTAAGTATTTAGCCCAGGGTGGATAAAAAAAAAATCAATGATTTTTTAAAAAAAAATTATGATTTTAAAAAAAAAAAAATTAAAAAAAAAGTCAGATTTTTTTTTTATTTAAATCGGATGCTTTTTGAAGAAAATATATTACCATCCAAAGGTTATTTCATCATGAAATAAAGATTTGTTTTTTAATTATGTAGAATAAGGCTGTATATGTTTAATTTTTTTGGTAAATAAATTCCATTAATCCATTCACAATGTCATGCTCTTCCAGAGGTTTTTGTAAGATTATTGGGCAGTTTCTCTGCCTACAAGATATTATCACAGATGTTTGGTTTACTTTGCAGTTATCAAAACTGAATTTGACTCAGCGGAGATCACATGCCTCTTCTTCACAGCAAAAATGTTATGACATGAACAGAGTTAACCACTTGAGCCCCAGAGGATTTACCCCCCTTAATGACCAGGCCTTTTTTTGCTGTTTGGCGCTGCACTAATTCAAATGATAATTGTGCGGTCATGCAATGCTGTACCCAAACAAAATTTACATCCTTTTTTTCACACAAATAGAGCTTTCTTTTGGTGGTATTTGATCACCTGTGCGCTTTTTATTTTTTGCGCTATAAACAAAAAAACCACAAAAATTTTGAAAAAAAACAATATTTTCTACTTTCAGCTATAAAAAATATATCGTAAACTCAAAGTTAGTCATAAATTTAAGCCAAAATGTATTCTGCTACATGTTTTTGGTAAAAAAAATCCCAATAAGTGTATATTGATTGCTTTGTGTGAAATTTATAGCGTCTACAAACTATGGTATAGATACTGTAATTTATGCCTTTTTTTGCTATACAGCGCTGCACTAACTCAAATGATAATTGCGCGGTCATGCAATGCTGCACCCAAACGAAAATTACGTCCTTTTTTTCACACAAATAGAGCTTTCTTTTGGTGGTATTTGATCACCTGTGCGCTTTTTATTTTTTGCGCTATAAACAAAAAAACCACGAAAATTTTGAAAAAAAACAATATTTCTACTTTCAGCTATAAAAAATATATCGTAAACTCAAAGTTAGTCATAAATTTAAGCCAAAATGTATTCTGCAAGCGGGCAAACTGGCGCTATCTAGGAGGGGCGCTAACACTATCGGAAGTCACCAGTGACACTAATACATTGATCAGTAAAAATCTGTTCACTGTAATCAATGACACTGGTGACAGGGCAGTGAAGGGGTTAACTGGGGGGGGGGGGGGAGGGGGGCGATCAAGGGGTTAAATGGGATTTATGGTGCACTAGCGGGCAAACTGGCGCTATCTGGGAGGGGCGCTAACACTATCGGAAGTCGCCAGCGACACTGATACAGTGATCAGTAAAAATTGGTTCACTGATCAGTGACACTGGTAACAGGGCAGTGAAGGGGTTAACTGGGGGGCCGATCAAGGGGGTTAAATGGGATTACTGGTGTACTGGCGGGCAATCTGGCGCTATCTGGGAGGGGCGCTAACACTATCGGAAGTCGCCAGCGACACTGATCAGTAAAAATCGCTTCACTGATCAGCGACACTGGTGACAGGGCAGTGAAGGGTTAACGGGGGGGGGGGAGAGGGGGGGGGGCGATCAGAGGGTTAAATGTGTCCTAGAGTGTTCTAACTGTAGTGTAGTGCTTGTGTACTCACTTTTTGGATGTCTTCTTCTCTGTCTGGAACGGAATGTGTCCAGGCAGAGAAGAATGACATCATATCCTGCCCTGTGTGTATGTCAACACAGGACAGGATAGGACAGGGACCGATCATGTGATTTCAGCCAGAAATCACTGGCTGAAATCTAATGATTGATCCCTCCTGGATCAAATCGTGTCACCCGCGGGTCGGCGGGGAGCGCGCGCCCCCTGCCAGCGAAAGTGTCGGGAGCGCGGAACCCATTTTTAAACGTGGTTTTACGCTCCACTGCCGCCCTGCACACGTATATATACACAGTGGCAGGGCGGCAAGCGGTTAAGAAAAAGACCTTAATCCTAACTTCTACAAACCTATGAATACAGAATCAACCCCTTCAGTGCTAAGTTTCAAGAAGTTCAGTGAATAGAATAGAAACAATATTTTCCTGATTGTTTGGAGTGGAATAGATCTGCACAAGAAGAAAGAGAAACTAAGTGTGAGGAGGAAGGGGCTGACAATCTACGTTTCTTAAAATATATATATTTTGTTTAGCCAAATTAGTTACCAAACATGGATGCTTGTTTAAGCAAATAACATATGCTGGAATGTTATTGTTTCAGTTGAATAAATCTATTTAAATTGTTATTAAGGTAATGATTATTTTTCTCCTTCCTAAGTACAACAGAAAAGTTATCCAAATATGAATGATTAACCTAATAAACTGGGGGATAAAAAACTAATATGAAAAGTTATTCTAAACATCTTCATCTACTTGCATATTAAAGTTATACCAGCAAGAATTAGTCTTTATGTAGAAAACTAGGATTTAAATCAAGCCTTATTGACTAGTGATTTAAATCATGAATTAAATCGTGATTTAAATCAGTTTGATTTAAATCAAATCCACCCTGATTTAGCCCAAACATAATTAATTTATATTTTTATGTTGTACAGTCTGCCTGAGTAAAAGGAGGTCCTTACTTTTTATAACCATGAGCCCTTTGGTAGGAGGAAACGCTTCAGATGTTGAAATATATAGAATATTTGCTGAAGATCTGGTATAGTGTTTGGTCTAGAAATAAAGGGAAAATCTCTGAAAATTACATCTGAAAAGTAAAATGCTGTCTCTAAGTATGGATGTTTGAAAAGGATATTATAAGCTTTGCCTTCTTTTATTTTTTTTTTTAAATAAATGTAAGGTGGACATATGAGTTAGTAGATTCCATTTGTCCACTGGATGTACAGTATATTTATATATGTCAGTCACGCAGGAACAATGTGATTTTAAATGTCTGCTGATATTTGCAGTGGCAAAATAACTGTTATGTTACTTTTGTATGTAGTGGTAAATTGATTACGTCCCACCTTGGTTATCTCTATTTCCAAGAAGGGGTTATGATGATGAGAGTCTAAAGATATGGGAACTGATCCAGCTGGGAACTACTAACTAGATATCTAAAGAAAAGTCCAAACTGACTTCCTTTGGCATTTGTATATCTGCAATTTAGCATAAAAGCTTCACTACCTAACAACTGTTAAGAGGGAACCTGTAGTCGTCACCAAATTTTTCTTCTACTTTCCAATGCAGAAAAATTAGTAACATGAAAAAGACTCCTGCTGAAGCAAGAAACAGTAAATCTTCAAGGCAGTGATACAAAGAGATAAATGTTAGTGGGTAGAGCTCACTGCTGGCATGTATTGGGGTTTAATAATACAATATACATTCAGATAGCACACTTTCTTAAAGAAAAGTTAGTTATACATACAGTAAATAAGTGGACTAATCTATGAAATGGAAATTAAAAAAACAAAAATCCACATGACGTTGTAATTTCATTTTAAATCTAAAACCATTCTAATCTTCTAAGACTCAAGAAATTCAATAAACAATGTCAACTTGGAAGCATCCTGTAATTTCTTGCATTAAGATACAAGTAAAATTTTAGGCATCTTCTGCAACAGAAATGTAATTTTCGGAAAGATACCCCTCAAGGGTTAAATTGCTTCTACAGGGAAGCCAACACTGCAATTTTCCTCATTGGAATGCCAAAAAGTGCACCAGGTAGTAATAATGAGTACCCATCCCTATTCAGGAATCAGTCTTGCAAGGACATTAGTGTGGAACAATTTTTTTCTTCAGAACATAAACAGGTGGGACTCTGCTACAAAGTTTGGCTAAATCCTTGCAATGTTCACAGAGGTATTTTTCTCTACAAAAAGTGGAAATTACAGTTAAAGAGATAAAACAAAAGGTTTATTATAAAATTATGGAACATTAAGGTTATATAAACAAAGACTGTTTATGTATTTTTGTGAACATACCCTAAGCCTCGCTTGCATTTTGGATTCTGTCCTTCATTATCCAAGGCCTCTGGTATTCCTAAACCTCTAGCACCAAGTCCTGTTCCCTCCATCCAGCCATGACGCTCCAAGACCCTTCGTCCAACTCCCTGTAAAAAAGAAGAGAATAAGCTAAAAAAATTAGTGGGAAAATTGGAGGGTGTGTGTAATTTCATTCAAACAGTACAAACATATATATCACTATTCTACTAAACCACATGGGTGATTATTCAAGTGCACCTATGGCCAAAAAAAAAAAAAAAAACCAAGTTACACTTACGGTAACGTCTTTTCCAGGAGTCTTTCAGGCCAGCACTCTGAGAGACCTCGGCTCCTCCCCATCTGAGGAAACACCTCCACCTACAATAAAAAAAGCTCCACTCCCCTCTGACCTCAGTTCTCCAAGCATCCTCCGGTCACCTGGGGAGGGACACACATGCGAGACAACATAATCACAATAAGCCATACTTCACACACATAACCAATATCAACCGTGGGTGGGAAAACCGGTGCTGCCTGAAAGACTCCTGGAAAAGGACGTTACCCGTAGTGTAAACTTGGTTTTTCCCCTACCGTCTTTCAGGCCAGCACTCTGAGAGGATATGCGAGTACTCACCCTTCGGGGGGCTAACTGCTTGCAAGACCTTACGACCAAAAGTCCATTGCCTCCTGCACCGAGACCAGGTCCAGTCTGTAATGCTTGGCAAATGTGTCCTGAATAGCTGTGTTCAGGACCATGTTGCCGCTCTGCAAATCTGCCCTGGGGTACCGGAAACCCCTGCTAAACTCTGCCTGGGTAGCCGCCACTGCTCGGGTGACTGTTGCCTTGATACCCTCCGGGACCTCCAGGCCTTCTGCCTGATACGCTCCTGCCAATCGCCAGCCCACAGCCAGCTGGCCAGCGTCCTAGACGCCTTCTTGCCTCTTCTAGCCCCTTAAAAAAAAAAACAAAAAGGGATTCGGTGCTTTCTGAACTCCCTAGATTTCTCTAGATACTGGAGGAACGCACCTTCTTACATCCAAACAATGATACCTCTCCTGATCTACCCCCACTGGGTCAGGAAAAAACGAGGGAAGGACAATGTCCTGTTCCCTCGGGAAACTCCGCTAGCTAACCTTCGGAATGAAGGACGGTCCCGGTCTGAAAAACGATTCTGTCCGAAAAAATACGGAGATAAGGTGTTCTGATCGAGAGGGCCTCCATCTCACACACCTCCTCCACGCCGTGGTAATCGCCACCAGAAAAGCCGTTTTTATAATGGTGAGCTCACTTATCGGGCAGGACTCCAGGGGCTCGAAACGGAGCCCTAGTCATCCCCCCGAGACACCTTGGCCAAATCCCACACCGGAAACGGTCTGGACCTCGGAGGCCTCTGCCTCACCAGAGCTTTGAAAAACCTACTCACCAACGCCTCCCTGGCCAGGGGCGTCTCTAGGAACACAACTGAGGGCCGAGACCTGGCCCTTGAGCGTGCTGACAGACCAATCCTTTGTCCGCTCCTGCCTGCAGGAATTCCAACACGGAAACCAAACTATGGGTTGCCACTGCTGTCCGATCACACCAGGCTGTAAAGCAACCCAGACCCTACCATAAATGGCCTGGGTCTCCTCCTTCCTACTGGCCAGTAATGTCGCCACTACCTTAGGCGGCGAGAACCCCTTTTCTAAGAGGAGCTGCTGCTCAGAACCCAGGCCGTTAACCGCAATCTTCCCACGCTGGGGCAAAGAACCGGCCCCTGTGTTAAACAAATCCTCTCTTGGGGCAGCTCCCAGGAGTGGACGAGAGGCCAAACTTTTTAGGGTCGCAAACCACGCCTGCCGTGGCCAGAAGGGAGCTATCAGGATTAACGAGGTCCCCCTCTGTCCTGAATTTCCTCAGGACCAGGGGAGCAAAGAACCGGGGGGAAGGCGCAACAAAGCCGGTAGTCCCACCTCTGACCTAATGCGTCCACCGCTCTGGACCCGTCCCAGCGGGATTTAGAGAGAAGAAATTTGGGACCTTGTTGTTCCTTCCGGAGGGCAAAAAAGGTCCACATCCGGGGATCCTCCCCACTTTCCGCACAATCTCCTGAAAGACATCGGGGTTCAAGGTCCATTCCGACGCTCCCTGAGCCGAGTCCTGCTCAGGAAGTCTGCCTTCTGGTTCAGCTCCCCTTTTTAAGTTGTATCGCCAGACAGGGACGCCAAGTTCACCTCTGCCCAGGACAACAGTTGTCGCCGCTAAGGCTCCGAGGGCCTTGCTCCTTGTCCCGCCCTGCCCTGTTTATATAAGCCACTGCCGTGGCATTGTCCGTTAGGACACGCACGTGCTGGCCCCTGACCCACACCTGGAAGGAGTGCAGAGCTCCCACACTGCCCTCAATTTCCTTCCAATTCGAGGGATTTGGGGCCCTTCTGCCCTAAGGACCATTCCCCTGATTCACCAAATTTCCCAGTGGCCGGTAGGGCTCCCCAAGCCCCTGGCATCCGTAGTGACCTCCGTGGATATCGGAAAGCACCACAACAGACCCTGAGTTATACTGGACGATCTCTCCACCACCATAGAGAGACCTTTCACACTGGGGGGAACCAGGACCCAGCAGTCTAGGGAGTGACTCCTCCTGTCCCAAACCCTCAGGAATCCACAACTGGAGGGGACGCAATATGCAGACCTGCCCACTGAACTGCCGGAATGGACGCTGTCAGTATATCCCAGTACCGACATATGCCTGTCTTATGGATATCGACCTGCTCCCCTGCAGTAATCTGACCCCGGCTTCCAACTTGGTGACTTTTTTCCAAAGTCAGCTGGTCTTTTGGTCTACCGAGTCTAGAGTGTAGCCCAAGTAAATCACTCCTTCTGAAAGGCACCAGGCAGGACTTCTCTAGATTCAAAATCCACCCCAAGCGTTCCCTAGATGGCCCCTCACTATAACCAGGTTTGCCGTAAGTGAGCCTCTGAATCCGCGAAGAGCAGGCAAATGTCCAGATAGGCCACCACTGAAATCCCCCTTAAGCGAAATAGTAATCAGTGCCTACGACAGAAACTTGGTGAATACTCTTGGCGAGGAGGAAAGGCCGAATGGAAGAGCCTGAACTGCAGTGTTCGAAACTGCTAATGTGTCGAAGTCCTTGCCTCCCCCCCCACATTGCCAACCTGAGGCAACCTCTGAGAGGCTTCCGCCACGGGTACGTGTAGGTAGGCGTCCTTCAAGTCGATGGATGCCATGAATGCATCCTGGTGGGATTAGGGACCCGATTGTAAAAATGGAGTCCCATGCGGGGAACCTCCGGTAACGCACTGATTTGTTCAAGGGTTTCAGGTTCAAAATCAGTCTGAACGCCCCAGACGGCTTTTGAACCACAAACACATGGGATATAAACTCCCTTCCCTCGCTCCGCTACTGGAAACCCTGGAGATGACCCCCCTGGGACTCTAGAATCTCTAAAAGCCGCACCACCAGAGCCGCATCTTTTATCGGATCCCTTGGACGGGTCGTCACCAGAAAAAGTCTCGGGTGGCGGCCTTAGAAACTCTAACCGGTAACCCCCTTACGGATGACATCCAAAATGAAGGGGCTGGTGACCACGGCTTCCCACTGTGGGAGGAACGCCGCCAATCTCCTCCCCCCACAGGAGGATACCAAGTCCCTTGGTTTTTGGGTTTTTCTTTCTGCTCAGAAGGGCGAAAAAATTTGCTCACCCCCTCTTTCCCCTACCTCTCTGTCCAGCCGACTACCCTGACCAGGCGGTCGCAGGCTCAGCTCTTTGCCGGGCGGCCCTTCCGTGTCCCCCCTCCTGCATTTTCCTCTTGAGGGGGGAAGGAACTTCTTCCTATCAGCTGTCCGGTACTCAATAATTCTCAACCCCGGGTTTCCGCGAACAGAACAGTCTCTGTGAGGGGGATGCGGCATAACCTAATTTTTGAAAGTGATGTCCCCTGCCATGTTTTTAGCCACAGCTACCCTTCTGGCTGAATTGGTCAGGCAGCCAGACCTGGCCCCCAATCCTCACCGACTCTGCGGAAGGCGGTCCGCAATATACCCTAACCCCATCCTTGCAAAAGGGTCTCAAAGAGGACAGATTTTTTGTTTTTTCCCCCTTGGGAGAGTCTGCCACAATATAGGGCCTGTAATTTCGTAAGGCCAATACTCTAAGTTTCTGGCTACCACTGTCATAGCCATGGCCGGCTTCAGGTTGTACAGGGTCGAGTCCCCAGGCCGTTCCAAGGAGAGACTCCGCCTTCTGTCCAATAAGTCTGGTAAGACCCCCATGTCCTCAAACGCGTAGGTCCAGTTCTCCTGGTCGTTTGGGGAAAAGGACGCGTCAAGCCTAGGGCTCTGTGTTCCAGACCGCCTACCGGGTCTTCCGAAAAAACGGAAACCTCCTTCTCAACGCTTTGAGAAAGAACGGCTTCCTTTCCGGGTCCTGCCACTCCTTCTTAATCGTGTCACCAAAATGTCATGCACAGGAAATATTCTGTGCTGGTGCTCCCTCCAACCCCTGATGACATTTGGTCGTGGAGAGATAAGGCCTTAACCTCCTCCTTAATGTCCAGGGTTTCGGTATATAGCCCCCCAGGAGCTCATCAACCTCCTCTAGAGTCAATTGTACCGGAGAGGGGCCCTTCCTTCCTCCGAGGGGACCCTCCCCCCCCGCTGATTCCTCCTCAGACTGGGAGTCCCCACTGGTTCCTCCCCGGTCATAAGGGGTTCCCGACGACTCACCGAAAGCCACTGGGGGGGCGGGGGGGGGGGGGGAAGAGTAGGTAATGGGAGGGCAAAACCTCTCCATGAGGGACTTGAAGGAGTCGAAAGGTGGTAGCCAACTCCTTCATGACCTGGCTAGGTCCCCTGTTCCGGCTTCTCCTCCCTCAACCACCCCTGTATACATGGGCCACAAAGAACCTTTCGCCAAGATTCCTTTCAAAACTCCCTACAGGAAGGGCATCTACCGCTTGGGGCTCTGGTGCCTAAGTTTAGCTCGGGCCTTGCCCTGAAAGACACAAAAGAAAGGAGGGAGGAGGGGAAAGCCAATCAGTTCCAACACTAAACACCCCCCCCCCCCCGCTCCTTCCTTCCTGGCAGAGCAAAAAAGGGCTCCTGAAACACCGCAGACCCCTTGCCCACCT